ATTAGTTTTTTTTAATGAACAGTATCAATAGTTTTTTTTAAATAATATTCCTTTAAACACCAATTTTGAACATGTAGGGTTTTTGGGTTTTTAAAAAGATATTTAAGGAAAACATTTAAAAAGAATATTTCAGTTCTTTTTAGGTACTCTTTTGAACTGCATTCTTATGCTGTCAATGGGTGTGGGTTCAAATGGTGTAAACTATTTATACTAAGCAATTATTTTAAGGAAAATAAAATTACAAAGATACATTTTCTGTAAAATGTACATAGAGTATACCAAAGAGTGGTAAAAAGTGTTTTTGGAAAAGAAATGCTTTTGGGAATATTTACTACTTTGAATTATCTGTACCAACTATTTTCCTACAGTAGTGCCAATAGAGTAGACTGTAGGTGGAAAGATTTTTTAAGAGTTTATTTTTTTAAGGTAACATTCACATATGAAAAGATTTTTACCTTCAAATTTTAGAAAACCATTTTGCTTGAATTAGGGTGGATGGGCTGTGTCATTTCTTCTGTACCCCAAAGCCTGAATGAAGTGTGCCTTGTTGTTGATTTCTAGTGCTTAGGACTCACTTTTTTTTTTCTTTTAAATTAGTGCTGGTTTCTATGGGCTGCAAACTTTCCCCAATAGCTGAAGCAGAGATTTCTGGGCATTTAAAATTTTCTTCTTTCTTCACAGTTTTAAAAGAGCCCCTTGCCTCCTCTGTTTGTCATTACATGTACTGGAGTACAGAATAGAAAATGCAAAACAAGACAGCTGTACAGGAGGTTTTTCTTTTTAAAGAAGTTGATAGACAAATGGCACAGGGTCCACTGTTCTCACCAGCTGAGAGCTTTAGCTTCCAGAAAGCGCTACTTTAGGGGAACAAGCGAAGTAGTGTGGAGGGCCTGAAAGGCTTCATTGACAAAACAGCCGGGAGGCTCTTGTACTGTATTGTCTGGTATGCAGTGCTCTTTGGAAACCAGTTCTTGCGATCTCTACACCCCCAACATCTCCAAAAGCTTAAAAAATTAGGGTTTTTTTTTGGCTATTATACTTTGTTTCCTAAGTGAAAAAGAGTTTGTTTTTGTTTTTCTTTTGCCTTTGGGTGTTAGTCAATGATTTGAATGATCTCTTAGCTTGGTTAGTGGGAATACTGGGGGTCTGGGCAGTAGGTCCAAGGCAGTGTCCCTAACAAATTAGTGGCCCAGCATTAATATTTGTTTTCTGAAGTAGAATTTAAGTGCTGCAGCAAAATGGAGTCCTTGGGTGGGGGAAATAAAGCAAATTTGAAGCTGATGATCCTTACTTTTCTTGAAGGTTGATCTGGAGAGATTTAAGTTCATGCTAAGGAATAACTTTCCAGTGGAATAAGATAATAAAAGTTATTAGATATGTATCAGTGAAGTTGAAGACTCACTTATAAACTTTGAGAGAGCTCTTCAGGGAAGACACCGTCATCTGTAGCATGCTGATTTGGTGTGAAAGTGCTGAGGCCGGGCAACTTCTTCATCAATGGTTTTCATTCAAGTATTAAGAGAGCTCCTATTATGTGTCTAGTCTTGAGAAGGGATGTGGCCTGTGCTCCCGAACTTTGAGGAGCTCAGAGTCATTGAGCCATAGACTGTAGGAGATCCTTAGAAATCAGCAATCCACTCTTATTCTGCAGGGAGCGCTGAGGCCCCGAAAGGTGACTTGCTCAAGATTACACAGAGTTAGTGGCAGACTCTTGACTGGAAGCTAGATATTTTTACTTCCAGTTTGGCATTTTCCCATTTGACTGTTGTTGAAAGTGCCTTGTAGTTGTTAGAGAACAGTTCAAAACAATATATAATGAAGTATAAACTGAATAATCAATTACCATTGCACATGGGGAGAGTTCACTGGGTATGGTGTGGACATTAGAAAAGAACCAGAAAAATCAGGTCTCTGTTCTGTGTTGTCAGGGCACGTACATGGAGAAATTTATATTCTCCTGTCCAAGTATGAAAAAGCCTTTAAGTGTGCTTTCTGTTTGAGTGTGTGCACACGAGAAGTTCCCTTGGTGAACATTAAAATAAAAGCTGGGTGAGGGTTGGGAGGTTGGATGTGGGAGAGAATGTGGAGTCCAAGTGATTCACAGATTTCTGAGTAAGTTTGACCATCACACATTGGAGGATGAACCTAGACTGCTAGAACTTTGAGCCTATGACAGGAGGGGCCCTTGTGGAGGTCTTGATGTAAAGAATTTGAATCCCCACCCCACCCCGAACTTCTGCCTAGCTGCTAGGAATTTATTCTCAGCCTTAATATTTGATCTCTTCTCACAGTCTATGCCTATGCATAGGTTTCCTTTCCCATTTAAGAGGATTGCTAAAAGCAAAAGAACAATTTTAACCATCTGCTACTTAGACAAGAGGAGATTTATTACTTTTAATTGAAAGGATACTTGTTCCAACAGGAGAAGGGTGTGCATCAGAGAGGAAAGACTGTGGCTGCACATATATTTTGGTTACAGCTCTGCAGGCAAGTTGGTGGTGGGGAGCAGTTCCTCAAAGTGCAAACAGCAGATATGGGAAGTTGAGACCAGGGGGAGCACTGCTGGTTCAGGGAACAGAAAGTTTAGTGCACATGCAAAGTGGATGGAGTTTAGAGCAGGGGACCAGGCCCTGAGACATCAAGTGAGGGGAGTGGGGAGAG